CCGGTCCCCCTGTCCCGCTCCTGCCGGCCTGGGGAGGCAGCGCGGCTCCCGATAGACACCGCCATGGCGTGGGCCGTGTCTTTGTTTGGTTTCTCGGAGAGCGATGTCAATGTAACTGGCACCGGGAAGAGCAGGCCCCCAGCTACAGCCCGAGGTGGGCACGGTGCCCGCTAGTCCCGCCGGGACGCACAGGCCGGCCAAAGGAACGGGTGGCCATGGCCATCGGCATAGCCAGCTGTGAATGGGCTGGGCCATGCTCCGGCTCCGGCTGTGGTTGTGGGGAGGTGGGTGCCAGCAGAAGGCATTGCCCGTGTGCCCAAGCGCACTTAACAGCATCGTGTACCTGTGGCTCCCTTCAGGAGCGTGAGCGACAGCAGAATTGATAGGCCTGGTGTGTTTTATATACGTGGTGTGGAACACCTGGCAAAGCGGTAGGTAGGAGAGAGAAATCAACGTAAAAATAAATAAAACCTATCTAGAAAACACACTGATTTGTTACTTTTCTCTGTTTCTTGGAGTGCTGGTGTGAAACTGGGCGGCTGAGGGACGTAGCTGATAAGTGCTTTCAGAAATGCCGCTCAGATTTCACATCACACACATATGGGTTTTGTTCTGTCGCTGCTAACGGTGTTGGGGCTGTTTGGGGAGGCCGGGAGAAAGAATCATAGAACGGTTTGGGTTGGAAGGGACCTTGAAGATCATCTGTTTGCAACTCCCCTGCCATGGGCAGGGACACCTCCCACTAGACCAGGTTGCTCAAAGCCCCATCCAGCCTGGCCTTGGACACCTCCAGGGATGGGGCCTCAACAGCTTCTCTGGGCAACCTGTTCCAGTGCCTCACCACTCACAGTAAAGAATTTCTTCCCAGTATCTAATCAAAATCTGCCCGCTTTCAGTTTAAAACTATTACCCCTTGTCCTTTTGCCACCCTCCCTGATAAAGGCTCTCCCCATCTTTCCTGTAGGCCCCCTTCGGGTACTGGAAGGCCACTATAAGGTCTCTCTGGAGCCTTCTTTTTTCCAGGCTGAACAACCCCAACTCTCTCAGCCTGTCTGAATAGGAGAAGTCGAAGTCACAGAAGATGTTGAAGATCAGTTTGTTTTCTGTTCATGCTCCTACTTACATGGCTGCTTCAGGTTCTAATCCTGTGACATACTGACATCATAGGAGACAGCTGTGATGTCAGTGTGAGGTAGGGCATAACTGACTAAAGCAGAACAGAGGAGACTTTAAGAAATATTAATAGTGCTTTTGTTAAATATAATACTGGATTGCTTCTGTTCATGCCTGTGTGTTACTGTAGCTGCATAAGCTAGTTTTTCAGTTGTTTTTTTTTTAACTCTAAATCAATCTGGCTGTTTTGCTCTCAATACACATCTTAAATGTTATGCTGCCCTACCGTGTGATTTATTTAAGAAGGAAGTGGTAGTTAAGAAGTAAAAAATGGTATTGACTCTATTCTGTCAGGGCTTGGAGACAAACAAGGCACCATGTTATTAGATTCCCCACTTCCATTGAGTAAAGAGCAACAATATTTATGTCTTTAAAAAAAAAAAAAAAGGCCTTTTTCTGCCAACATCCTATGTTGCTCTTTCTATCCCCCTTTCAGTTTTCTGTAGCCACAGGCAGCAGTGCTGGGTCTCACAGCCTGCAAAGCAGTGCTAAACACTATAAATAAAACTCCAATTCTTTATGAAATATTTTGTATCCTAATTTTACAAGGGGCGTGTCAAAATAGTGTCCCTGAAAGTGATCAGAGGAGGATATTTCTCAGTTTTGTGTTACTGGTAGCAGTTTGTGAGTAGTCGTTTCTGCCTTTATGCTTGTATTTCAATCCATGTTATTTACTGCTTGTTCACACAACTGCAGAGAAAAAAAATCAAAGAAACACAGTTTTTAAAATGTGACCTTGAAATTCTAAATTTGGCTAGGAAACTTGAAGAAAGACGTAGTACCTCAAAATGCACTTTAGCTCCTTAAAAAAAAAACCTAAACGGCCTACATCTCACAAGAGTGTCTCTATATCACAAGATAAAAAACAATTGTAAACAAAACCCCCGAAAGATATTCCTTATCTTTTTTAATCTAAACAAGGTAAAACAAGGTACTGTTCAGGTATGCCAAGAAACGTTGAGGCTTGAGCTGGATTGGGGTGCGTGAAAGGTTGGCTTCAAACTTAGAATATAGGTCCCTCAGTTTAATAGATTCCAAGTGGATTAGCTTGCTGTAAGGATTCTTTGGGAAGAAGTAGTTTATTTCAAAGGATGGCAAAATATAACTTAGAAGTAAATAGATTTGAATTCTGAGCAGATGTTAATTATTCAAATGGCTGAATGTGTTGCGGTTTTTTTTTTTTCCTGTTCTAGTCCAAGAAAAAAGGTCTGAGCTTTGAGGAGAAGAGAGTTCGCATGATGGAGATCTTTTTTGAAACAGTAAGTAACTTTCTTGTAATTGTCCTGCATTTATACTGGGTGGGAAAACAGGTCCGAAAAGGAGGTTAATTGTAGATGTAGATGAACACTCTATATCCAGCTCTGCATTTCACTGATGCTCTGCGTCATCGATGTATAAATTACAGGGACAGAGCTTGATTCATGTAGCTTCTGATCAGGTAGCTGGTCCCCTGGTGGAGCCAAGGCATGAAGATGCGCAGGCGGTGTTAAATGCTCAATGTGCTCCCTATGCTTGGAGCCAAATAATCTTGTTTTGAGTTTGTTACCGTAAGAGGGATAGCGAGAGGTTAGGGTATCTCACAGCAGTTCATGGAAGAAGGAAGAAATCTGAGCGTTAGAAAAGATGAGAGAACATCTAGAAGAGGTCACTGGGGAGAAGAAACCGGGAGAACCAAAAGCAGAGCTACAATTATATTGGCGACATGCGTAATTCACAACGTTTCACCTTTTAAAAAAATTACTGTGACATTGAGTACTTGAGCAATGTGGTGCATCTGGTCCTGAGAATCTAATCTTGGCTCTGTCTGCCCTAGGGGGTTTAAAGTCTAACTTGAGGCAAAATACGGTGACTTTAGAGTACCAAAGAAAAGAACAGGACTTGTTGCAATAATGGTATCTTTTTTTTTTTTTTTTTAATTCTCAGAATGTTCTAATTCTATCGAGGGATATGCAGCTTTTTTCCCTAGCAAAACATAAACATGCAATGTATTTTGTACTTGCTTTTGTTGGCATTGATTTAGTGTAAAAAACAGTGGGGCTTAGATGATGCTGTCATTTGGAGCTAAAGTGTCTTTTATGTTTTGCACAGAAAGATGTGTTCCAGTTGAAGGATATAGAGAAGATTGCTCCAAAAGAAAAAGGGATTAGTAAGTGTTTACAACAGTTATTTCTCTTGAGTCATTAATCATTTTTGGGACAGGTCATAGAGTGTAAATTTTCCTGAGTACAATTTTAGGTTTGTGGTTGTAGTAATGGAAAAAATAGCTGGAAAGGGAGACTGGTCAATGGTAGGGCTGTAGCATTAAAAGTGACATCAGCAGCACACTCCTACCTCGGTATGCTAATGTACGTCTCTTATGTTAGGTGTTAAGGCCAAAATGGGAGATTATTAAAATGTCACAGCTAACTCCAAGTTAACCACTAAAACATGGGATGGGGTTTTTCCTGTGCTCTGAGGTGCCTGGGTGGCAGTGACTTTCAGTCTATGAAATCATTATGTGTACTCAGGTAGTGAATAGAGGATTTAAATATGTCTGTAATGTCACAGATATCTTAAAATGCTAATCCAGATGTACACAGTCAATTTTCTGTTGAGCTTTCCCCCCCAAAAAAATGGCTGGACAGCTGTAAATGGAAGGGGTTTGTCTTTTCAATGAGCGCCCTCCTGATGAGATCCATTGGTTTAGGATTAGGTCCAAGAGTCCATCTTACGCTGTTGAGTTGTTTTATATGTTCCCCATTCTGCTTCCTTCTATATTTATTGACAAAAGGGAGGTGAAGAGTTTGTGTAGTTGCCACTGTCCTTGATTAGCCCGTCTTTGTGGCACTGAGAGAGTAAATGAACTTGTTGAAGGAACTGCAGGCATATGTGAATATCGCAAAGCAGTGTTTTTCAGTTATGTCAGCAGCTAACAGAGGCACTTGGAAGTTTCTGAAGAGATGTGGTGCTGTCTTGATTGATTTGTCAATGCATATGTTTAATTGTAATTTGCAGGAAGAGGATGCAAAGCAGTAAATATAAACAATGGAATTTCACATTTAAAAATCTGGAGGGTAGAGTTGCTAAAACTATTAACACCTTTGAAACTGAATAGTCCAAATTCATCCAGTCTCTGAATATGGAGGCATTTAGCCACACAACCCAAGCCCCAGTTACTCTGGCAAGAAAAATGTCTAGCCTGTGGAAGTGCCTTCATCCAGCCTATAGCTGCCAAAAGATTTCGTGTTCCTGATCCGGGATCCCCTTTAGGCTTGAAATTTTCAGACACTGAAAACCATAAATTAGCTCAAAAGTGTTTCTATCTGCAACACATGAGGATAATAATAGCTACTTTCCTTTGTTGAACAGGTATCATTCTTAAAATGGTGAATTATACCTCTCATTTTCTAGAAAATGAACAATTATGTTCAGAAATGTTTTGGATCTTGACTACAGATGACTTTCTGTATTGGAACTGAATGTAATCAAAAGTAAAATCTGCCCCTCCTGAGTCTGTAGGCAGATGGCTTTAATGTATCTGCTGCTGTTAAATGCTTTAATAAGCATTCCAAAGTGAGATGTAATTACACTCCTAATCAAGAAATTATAAATTAATCCACGTTAGAATTAAGATTCCAAGACAACTTCTCAAGTACCCTCTCATGGCTTTGTTCTGGTATCGTACTGTAATATGCATGTATGTTTTATGATACTCGTTAGCAGTGTTTTACAAAACCTGATAGCGAACTGTGTAGAATAGCAGCCTGTATGTATAAACTGCTGATTTTGAAGGGATTCATTCCTTCACTTGAAGCATTAGGCGTGGCATCCTCTTGAAATTGTCCAGCTAGCTGACATTACAGTAAAATATTCATACAGATGATTGTAGATGGTGGCTTATAGTATTCATAATTCTCCAAAGTTTGGATGCTATGCAGTTCTAACTTGATATTTTTGTTTCTATTAGCCTCAATGTCAGTGAAAGAGATACTTCAAAGCTTAGTTGATGATGGCATGGTGGACACTGATAGAATTGGAACTTCCAATTATTTCTGGGCTTTTCCAAGTAAAGCTCTTCATGCCAGGAAGCGTAAATTGGAAGAATTGGAGTCTCAGGTAAATCTATTTTAAGGAAAGTACTTGTTTACCTGAATGGGTTTGCTTTTTCCTTATACCCTCTTGTCATTCTCTTTCATATCCTGCTCTCTCTCATGTGCATATGTGCATGTGCGTGCGCACACGCACACACAGATCTTGCTATAGGAATCATCTGGCACACATGGTATGACTATCTTACTTATTATCTTGCTGTCACTTCAGAAGAGTTTTGTAGGTTCTTCTTGTCTGCTTGCTGCTGAAATCACGTTATTCATGATGCAAAACATCATTTAAGGACTTCCTCTAAATATTTAGGCAGTATATGCTTTTATGTGTCTTTTATATAATGTAGGCCATCATGTGGTCATGATCTAAAAGCCATGAGAGGACTGAAATAGATATCCCAGGTAAACGTGTCAATGGTTTCTACTTATGGCCATTTTACTTTCCTATCTGCTTTTATCGGTAGTTTAATTTGTGAGCACTTGCGTAATCCCGTAGTGCACTTTTATTAGGAGAGAAGAGCAAATTGGTCATGATTTTCTGCAGAAGAGCAAGGCATCTTTTGTTGCAGCATTGCTGTTTTATTGATCTGGTTCTTTCCTACTTTTTAGGAACTGTCTTTCTTGCTTCTCTTAATTGAAGTTGGAAAGCATCTGTTCATCAGTTTATTTGCAACTGGAGTACATGATAATAAGCTCAATAAACTAATTTTATGGTCTGATTGCACCACAACACTGCCAACTTTTTCCACACTTATTTAGCATTATGTTCATTCATCGAGGAATCGTTTGAATTAATGCAAAATTATTGGTAGCATCTGAACACTTTTACAGACACTTTTCTTCAGGTATAGCTCTGCTTTCATCATTGCCATTTTAAGTACAGTGTTGTCAACTTCAGCTGCTTCTTTAAAGCTCCAAATTTATTGTATAAAAACATGCTTTTTCCCCCAGCTTGAATTGAGAAAGCAGTCTGTGAGTCTGAAGGCTGTTCACCAAAGCAGATTAAATAGCCTGATCAATGCAGTTGAAATTGCTTGTTTATGCATAGTGTGGTGTGACCAGCAGAGCGGTAACCTTGTCAGTTACCCCTTGCTATATTGTCATCGGTTGTAAATCTCAGTCATTGCTAAACTGAGAGGGTCCAGTCCACTGTTCTGTTTCAACCAACAGATCATTTATTTCTCTTTGCCCTGAATGTTTTCATTACTGGCCTGGGTGCTCTGGATGACTCTCTGAAGGCGTTTTGTGTGTCTGCTTGCATGGATCTGACAGAGAGAGGAGAGCACTCGTACTCTGTCGCACACTTTGTGCATCTACTGCAATTTTCAAGATCAAGAGTAAGACTTGCATTTCACTTTCACTTCCTTTCTCCCTATTCACTAATTCATGTCATTTTAATGAGCCAGTGATACATTCAGGGGTCTGTGGCAATAAGGAGGAAGTACTGCAGTCCTGCCCATCATTAACTGGGACTGTGTATTGACAACCTTTCAGGCAGGTGCTTTGGATGAGTTGGAAAGTGCAGCTTGAGATAGCTCTTGTGGTGCTGTATGGGTTGTCAAAATTATAGACTCTGTAATTTCAGGTTCTGTCACTGACTTGCTCTGTTTTGAGTAATGTTCTCAGCATCTCAGATGACCTATTAGTATCACGGATATAAACTGTACCTTGGTATAAGGTATAGATATAAACTGTACCTGAGACTTGGTTGATAATAAGTTGTCCCACTGACAGTTTTTGTCTGTTCCTTTACTGCCTTTGTTTTCAGAACTCAGACGAGTCCAGACATTAAAAACTATCTCGATTTAGCTGGATAAGCTTGTACCATTTTCAGGCATGAAGTTAGTCCGGCACAACTGGGTTTAAATAAATTCTTATTGACTGGTAGTAACAATGCACTGATTCCTCCTCCAGTGAAGTTTCATTTGTGTGAAACAGGAGATCTGTTTAACTCCACACTGACTTGGAGCTGAGTTTCCTAGTAAAGTTACTCAACTTATTAGTATATTCACACAAGTTTTAGGCCAGGCTACTTACTCTGCCAGAGCATAAATGCCAACTGAGCAATTGAACAAAAACATGCCAAAATTCCTGCTTTGTTCACCACCCACCCTGGTGCCGCAGTCTTGCTGAATGCAAATGGTTTGCTCTTGGATACTTTCTATTTTTGCTCATGCTGCATATTATAGCTAAGTAGTTGAATGAAGGAGTTGATATTTGTTGTCTTTGCTCTTGGGTCCAGCCCCATCATGAATTTTAAAGACAATTGATCAAGCATGTCTCTGGCTTACCCTGATGAATGTGTTCCTTGGAATGTCTTGCAGAATCTGCCTAATGTGCTCCACTGTAAGTATCCAGGGGTTATCTACAAACATATGCTGCACTGCTTTAAATGGACTGTTACATTATTAAACATAATATCATCTATTATTATTATGGAATTATAATAGGCATGCAGTTACTGTATTGTAATGTTATTTTACGGTTATTTCTGTGTAGGAAATAAACTATGCTGATATAAACAGTTTTGCAATACTAAAACTGTTCCTGTTGAAAGAACTAATATTGTTACCAGACCCTTATTTGAAAACCAAGTCCGGCTCCTAACATATGGGCTTACGAAGTGCTCTCTTTAGACCATGTTATGAGTCTTTAAAAATACTTATATTCATTACCTTGCTTTTCTGATGAGAATGGAAATGTTTCAACATTTCAGGGAAAAACATTTCACTAGTGAAAATAACTTCTCTGTTGACACAGTGGAAAGGTGGCATTTTCAATGAATAGCTCTCTGAACATTTTTACAAGATGATAACAGATTCTGTCTGTGAGTTCAAATTAGCTGGTTTAGTGTTTGTATTCTTCTTGATGTGAACACATAGAGATTTTCTTAAGGGTTTCTAAATCCAGTCACCAAGTATCACAAAGCTTCTTGTCAGAACATGCAAAGCAGAGGAAAAGAGTAAGCTATTGTACCATTTCTGTTGCACGTTGCCTGTCTTTGATCATTCCGGTATAAAGCTTCTGGCGTGCTGAGAGACATGTTTTCTTTTTGTGTTTTGTCCAGATTGCTTGTTAACTACATGAGTTGGTCTCTTTCTTCAGCAGTTAAAAGCCAGAATCAAGCCGCCTTACTTAAAGCACAAGTTTAAAAATCTAGCGGTT